GAGTAATGACTTCTGATCCATATGGTGGGTCTTGGCTGTCTTCAACTCAATGGAGGAAAGCAAAGGAACCTGCTTTGGCCTCAGACCTAAACCACATTCTTCTAAGCATATAGCAAGTTACAAGGGGCTTGCCCAGACTAACAGAGCTTCTCATTAGCTTGGGGAACACTAGGTGTGGAACTCCAGAAGCAGGGAGAGGTGAGCAGCACTCAACCTTTTACATACAGGAAGAACAGTGAAGTCTTGAACAGTGAAAGGACTCAAGAGCCCCTGTGACAGTAATCATTAGCCAAATGAGTTGTTACATAGGTTGGAAGGGCACTGGATCCAGATGGTCACAGTTGAAATACATAAATAGTAATGACAGAGATCGTACAATCTCTTCTGGTCTTTTCCCATCATCTCGGTTTAGTGTAATTTAGACCAGTAAACTTTTACCTTAGCAAGCACTTATCCTTATCTTAAAGAGATGAAGTGAAGGACCCATATATTTCAGTGGAGAACAAGGCATGAGTTGGGGACAACAGGCATTTGCGATGATAAGCTTCGGCAGGGAGAGAAGGCAGCCCCAGGTCTGAGAGTCTTGGGTAGAAGCTAAGGGAAGGAGCCCAAGGGAGAAATAAGATGACAGAACAAACTCTTACAAGGGATGGCTCTGGTTTGATACATGTTTCATTGTTGAAAATCTCTATGAGCTATTGCATAGTTTTAGTATATTATGTGTGTACATAATTAATTCTATTTCATTCTATATGCCCATATATCATAAAGCTCAGGAATTTAGCTTAATTCTAGTAGTTAAAACCAGGATTCATAAACAGAGTACCTATAAAGATTTTGTCCTTTGTCATCCAGTAGCTTTTCTCCACAACATGGTTTTTATAAAGATAATTATGAGCTAGGAAAAAAAAACCTGATCCATTATGTACAGATACATTACAGAACCTCAGATGATAAAAAACAGGCATATCTTGGCTTATTCAGATATTTCAAAATTTTAAGTACTCTTCTAAACTATCAAAAGACAAAATGCATCAACAACCTGAGGGCAGGGACAATGTAAGATACACTTTGTAGTTTTTCATCTGCTTTTCTAAGAACCACATTCATTCTAGACATCACTTATGAAAATCAAAGGTGGGCAGAGGATGTTGTGAGACACATGACTCTGGACAGCTTACAAAGCAACGGCTACACCTTTGAGATAGGTATGCCCACTGACTCAAACTGATTTTATGACATTTCATATAAAATAGCCCTTGAGTAATTGTTCTTGTAAGAAGTATTGTCTTTTTCATTTACATTTAAAAATGTTAAGACTGGATCAAACAGTCTGGATTGATGATAATTTAAGAAACAGGAGCTGATAAGATGCACAAATGGGAGGAACACCGACGACTGCCCCGCCTGGGCGACGGGGCTCGATGGCATGGTCTTCTTGGGAGGAACTGAAGCCAATCAGAACTATGAAGATAGCAAATGCAGCCAGATATTGCTTAGTAGTCATCTCAAATAGTAAATCACTGGAATTATACGTTTATGAATAATATTGAATTTGCTCATATATTTATAAAACTGACACTGTGGAACAAAAAATAATCCAGATTCAAAAACAAACAAACAAACAAACTTAGATCTATAGTGTTAGAAATTTAAGTTTTATATATTAGGGTAACCAACTGCAAATTGAGAAGCTAGCATAAAAGTTAAAAAATAATGGAGAGGTTTGAAAAATCTACCAAAGCAAGAAAAGATGATTCTGATTTGGGCTGCTCAGTGTCATGCTCGTTTTCCAAGTTTGTACCCCTGAGAAAACTGTTTGATAACCATTATACAGTAGGCACAGAAATCAGCATACTTTATCAAACAAAACACTAAATAGCTGTCGCTACATTAAAAATTATATTAATTCTTGTAAATGCTGTGGATAGAGGAGAATAATGTTACAAGTTTTAAAATCTGTGCTTGGTTTTCATCCAGAATGGAGCAAATGTCAGGCAAATCAACATCATCTGTTACTTTGACATTTTTCTCCCTTGCCTGCAAATTTGCTTGCAATTCCATAAAGTATACATGTGAGAAAACCATTAACGACAGAACAGAATATGGTTGCTGGGAGATTTGTTTTGCACGTATGGACTAGACAGTATTAGGCTTGCAGTGCTTCTTGAAGGTAGAGAATGTGAGAATTCTCTGGCTCGAATCACAAATAGCTCCAAATCCCGAGTGGTGTGGATTGAATTTCTGTATTACTGTACTTTGGCTTTTAGACTACATTAGAAGCACATGAACAGTTTCACTGTAACTTGCATGTAATGAAGTCCCTCCCACTAACCACACTTCACAGGATCCCTCCAAGATGCCCAGTGCCGGTGCGGCAACACTAGCAATGAGAGCTTATTGAGATGGCAGACGGAAGTGACAGGTGTCACTATTAATCGTTGGGTTTGTTCTGAAAAAAGTTTGTAAAGGACCACCCTCCTCCATTAGATTTAGGAGAGTCTTCATCCTTAGGAGGAATCAAAAATTGTCGGGAGTTAATGGAACACGGACTTCCAAAAGACACAACTTCACTGTTGCTGTCTGTGGATCTGGGAGAGTCTGGAGATACTAAGTTCCAGGTATTTACATTTGCCTGAGGTCTGTAACCTGCAGTTGTATCTAAGTCATCCTCTGCTGCTGGATCTTCCATGGTGGAAGTAACTGGGAGGTGCATTTGTGGCTTATAGCCTGCCCCGCCCACAGGGTCGGTTTCTTGTTCTTCCTCGGGTTTCGCTTGGGGCTGGTACATGGACTGGACATCGATATAAATGACTTGTGAGGTCCCTCCAGTTTCATCCACTCCTGGGGTCGGTATTTCTTCCTCAACGACTGGTGGACAATAGGACACAACCACGTGGTTTTCAGGTTCTGCATCTGAGATCTCTTCTGGATGCTCCGCTACTGGGGAGATTATTTCTGTATCTTCTATTTTAGGAACTGTTGTTCGAGTTTCCAGCACCTCGACATTATTTGGGGTACAAGGATTCATTTCCAGTGTTTTAAGAGCACTGTTTCCCTAGAAATCAAAGATTTAAAACAAAGATTAAGAATAGCACTAAAAGCTGCTGCAGTCCCCTGCTCCCCTACAAAAAGGGGCATTATTCTGTATATATTTTTTCACATCTGCTTGTAAAAATTTTCTCTATTCTGTAGTGCATACTAGAGCAAAGTTAGTTTTTTTCTGCATATCAATATTTTTCTTGCTGTTAATGGTAGTGGGGGAAAAAAACATGGTACAAATGATTTAAAATTAATCATTTTAGAACTTCAGCAGATAGTAGAACACTTATTTTTTAAATATATTTTACTTAGGGTGATACTTGCATGTTAAAAACTTTTCACAAAAGACAAAAAAAAAAAAAAAAGAGAGCCAGTACTTCAAAGATAAGTATAAAAAAACAAAGGATTACCTCACAGACACTCTTTTGAAACTGTAATGCTTTACAATTTTCTGGATTCGGAATATCAGGGTAGAAGGTTTCTTTAATCCTTTAAATGAAGAATGATTAAGTACATTTAATAATGGTAAAATTAGCAATTAGACAACAAATAAGTAAGAAATCATGAGGCTTTGGCATTTCATAAGAATATTTTAATGAACATGAGATAAAAACAGAAGATCATTTTTAGTATGAAAATTCACTATTGCTTTCTATACAATGCGTTGAGAGGTTCCAATCTGAAAACAATAAATATTACTTCTATTTCTAGAGCTACAATATCTTATGTATCTTATGGAAATAGCAAAAAATTAAAGTGGTGACTGTGCTATCAGGTTAAAAGTAAAATACAGGCATTGCTCACATAAACAAAATGTTCATACTGCAAGCTGGATTAAGTATGATCGATTACTCAGGGAACATATTTGCATTATGCAGTTCTCTACTGCTCATAGCAAACCCTGGACTATTAGAAAAAGAAAAGCTATTCATCTTGAACAAAACCTAAACACAAACAAAAAAGAGATTTCTCAGTATCATATATTTAGGACTATTTAAAAGGACTTTATTATTTGAAATTCCTGCAAGGAAAAAAAAAATTTTGTTAATATAAGTCTGAAATGCTCTCACTTCAAACTCTCTCCTTTTACTTTTTTTTTTGGGGGGGGGGCGGTATTGAAATCGGTTTTAAGATGTGATTTCTGGTAATGAGAACATGGTTACCAAAACAGGGTATTCTATAATTCTCAATGATCACTATTTTGATTTATAAGCCAGAATTGCTAGAATACATTTCTCGTCTTTGTCATAAATGACGGCATTTTTAAGGCCAGCGAGGACCATCTACTCGTGAACACAGCCACTCGCTCAAAGTCCGGCCCAGGACAGCTCCTGCCAGCCGACCTGCGGCCTTCTCTCCGCTGAGCCTCTGCTCACCTCGCCTCACCTCCTGCCACTCACTCTCCCGCTTCAACTGGACACAAGGTTCTTTCTCCAGAAAATCAACTTCTTTCCAATTTCTGGGTCCTCACAGAAGTTATTCTTTCTGCCTGGAACATTCTTTCCCCTCTTCTTACCCTTTGGGATCCTGCTCAAACGGAACTCCCAGAGGGAGGCTTTGGCATGTCACCTCCAGTGACATGGTTGGTTCCCCTGCTATTCTCATGGCACCTGGTACCCTTCCTAATACCCACTCACTTTGTTAGATGATTATGGGTTTAATGTCCATCGTTACCGCTACGCTGTAAGTTGATAGGACCATGCTTACCTAGTTCACCACTATACCCTCTTTACATGGGAGGAGTCATCATATTTGTTAAATAAATGACCAGATTTTCTAAATAGGTTACCAGGACAAATGAGATCTTAATCATTAAAGTACATTTAATCTTGCATATAACTATTGTCATATTTAAGCCTGTAAATACTCTTTTGAGTACAACTGCTATTACTTTAAATTGTTAGTAAATAGGGAAAAAATTTATGCTTTACTTTAATTTTTAAACCTTTAAATACCATATCATGTTCTCGCCTAATATTAAATCCAATGTTAACTCTGAGTAAAACAAATACTTTTTTTAAAAAAATAAATACTTTTATACTAACCAGCTTCAACCAAAAAAATGTACTTATTTGTTAAACATAAACTACTTAACCATGCCCATAGGAATAAAACAGCAAGAGTAAATGCAAGTACCATTACCATTCTCGTTTCCGATAGCAAAGGATACTTGTTACCACGCCAACAATGACAGCCACAGCCACCGGGATGAGAATGGCAATAATTAATCCCACGGCTGAAAAGAGAATATTGCAAATATTAAAATCCCCAGTTTTAGTATGAAGTATAGAATAAATTTATATTAGAAAATATTTAGGTTGATAAGTGAGAAGAGAAAAAATAACTGCTCTGGGGACACCAAAAAACTGATAAAATGTAACCTGAACTATTTTAATAATTTTTATACTAAATTCTTTAGAGTAGGGTTTCTCAATCTTGGCACTTTTGACACTGAAGGCCAGATATTTCTCCAGTGTGTGTGTGCGTGCATGCGTGCGTGTGTGTGTGTGCGTGTGTGTAGGGGGATGCTGACATAGACATTGTAGGAAGTTTAGCAGCATCCCTGGGCTTCTAACCACTAGATCCCAGTAGCGCTTACGAGTTATGACAACCAAAAGTGTCACCAGACACTGCTAAGTGTCCCTGAGGAGGCAGTATCACCCCCAGTTGAGAACCATATCTTCATGGTCCGTTTTTTGAGTGTGTATGAACTCCAACTCAGGGGTCGAGAATAAGCTCGTGACCAAATTAAAGTTCCTTGCTGTTGACAAGATGGTCAAGTCCATCACTCTTCTCTACTTTCCATCTCAAATTTATAAGTTTTGTGCTTCACACTTTTTTTTTTTAAGTAGTTCCTTTAAGAATTGCAGAATTAACTAGGGCAAAAAAATTTAAACTGGTTGACCATATATAAATTTGACATGAATTTAGAACTCTGGACTTCAGCTGTATCTTTAATTCATTAATTTCTTAGGTACTCATTAGAAAATAGCATCAAATTGGGGCAGGACAATTAGCCTAGGGACGTTTCCCGTCCCCTCCAGAATGTTTCCTTAGTCCCTTACTTGGTCCTCTCCCTGTTTTAATTCCTAGCTTGACAGGTATGAGAAACAAGCCAAGGCCAGGAGACAGGCTAGCCGACCTTGGAGCAACCCCTCCCCTCCAGGTGGCGTGAGAAACAAGCCAAGGCCAGGAGGCAGGATGGAGAGCCTTGAGACGTCCCCTCCTCACCAGGATAAGGATCCGGAGTCTGTCCCTTATCCTTTGTTCAGAACTGGCTAATCATAATATCATTACAACATCACCTGCATTGCAAGTATCATGTCCTCCTCCCATCCCCAAGAAACAAAGGCCTGTGATCCAGACAGCCAGGGCAACTGTCTTAGAGTTTGCCTACACTTTTCTCTGAAGTGTGTACTTTTGCTTTAATAAAAAGCACTTTCCTGCTGGCTGTTTGTTGTGTCCTTGAATTCTGTCTAGTGGCACTAGACAAGAACCTGGTCACCAGAGCTCTAGCTCAGGGTCCCTCTTTGGACTCCCACCCTGTTGAGCTCTCTGGCATCAAAATGACTGACAAAATAAATAGGAGGTCAGCTCACGGCCTTTTAACACTGCCCTCTACCTACTACAAATGTCGAAATTAAATGTTGAGATTAACAAAAGGGAGGGTTCCGACATAAACAAAAATCACTAGAACACTATACATTTGAGTATGGAAAGCATCTCAATGGCAGTATTTAACTCACAATTTTCCTTTGTCACCACAAACATGCTCTTCTCTGGGCCCATTCCACCATCTGTGTAGGCTCGCAGGACGAGATGGTAACTTGTTTTACCTTGAAGATCAACAATTCTCAGTGTCTTCTGGGATATGTCGGTAATATTCTTAACCTTCACATCGGAACGACCTATTTTTAAAGTGAAAAATATTATTACTGATCTCTACATCGTTTTAAACTCATGGTTACTCATAGCTGTCACACCCATGTTCCTTTTAGGTGAGTCCAGCTGCTGGCCTTCTCCGGGGCCAAGGCCAGTGGAGTCAGCCAGTGCCATGGTCAAGTTCTACCTCTGCCAGTTAGTAGCTGTGTGATCTAGTGCTGTTATTTAAACCACCTTGAACCTAAGTGTCTCTTAACTATGGAGAAGAATATCACAACCTTATCTCACCCGGCTACATGAAGTTTTCATACACATTTTCTAGAATAATGCCTGGCACAGAGCAGACAATCAGTACAATTCACTTCTCTTTCTGTTACTAAGAGCATGAAAAACCACCACAACCGAACCCAGTGAGGTGAGGGGCGCTGTCACTCAGCTGATCCTGCCTATGAGTGGAGCGAGAGACCGGAGGGAGCAGGAGTGAGCACAAAGCAATGGAGCTTACGCCACACCACTCAGGAGAAAAGGCTGTGCTCTGAGTTCTCAAACGAGGCACTAATGAGAAAGCTTTTTTTGAGTCATTTTAAAAAGAAGTGTAAAGAATTGTTTAAACTATTATTTAAAAATTTTAACCAATACGAGAAAATCTTTTTAAAAAGTAAATCGCACTAAATGGCTAGAAGCTAAAATGTAGCAGTTCCCTGCCAGCACCTTCCCCCACCACCTACAAGCACTTTAAAATCATGGTATCGATCTATTTGGGTATTTCTTTCAAATTTTCAAAATAAACCTACGTTGGTAGTACTTCATTTTTAAATTCTAGACACTATCTACTCATGTCCCACAGGCAGATGAGGATTCAGCTCTCTCACACCACCACCAGATTCCCCTCGCAACCCGCATCATTCATACAGAAACATCAAAACACTTGGCAAATTCAGTGTTTACTTTACTGTGATCACATAAATACGGATTACTGCTAGGACAAAATGCTTGGTATGACCATGTTTCCTTCCTCGTTTTTCTGTTGTAATAAATGATTTTTATTCTCATTTGATTGCTGCACCAATTTGTAAGTCTTCCCACACCCTCCAATTAATATTCAATGCAATTTTCCAAGTGGCCCGACACAACCAAGTCCTAGTGCCACTGCCTGCGCCCAGCCCCTGCCCACTTCCCTCCCGGGGGCCACCCTCCCTGAGCATCACCACTAGACTGGCAGCCTTCTAGCTGCTGTGGTGCTGGAGCTCCCTGCCCCCTTATTTCCACATGTGGACACACTCTCCCAGCAGCTTCCCGGGAACGGGAGCATCGGGGAAGGGAATACGGGCAGCCTGAGCGTCTAAAAACATCCTCACTTCGCTCTCACATTGGTTGATAGATCGTTTTCATTCAGTATTTTGAAGACACTTCTGTGTTACCTTCTAGTACCTGCTGCTGTTAACAAGTTTGCTACCATTCTTATTCCTGACACCTGGCACATGTGCTACTTTCCTCTGGTTGTTTCTAGAACTTTTCCTTTATGTATTAGGTGCTCTGAAAATTCATGACGCCATACCTTGGCATAGATCTTTTTTTCCAATTATTTTACTGTGTACTTAGTGGTATCTTTTACTTTATATATTCAGGTTTTCCAGTTCTGGAAAATTTTCTAATGCTGTTTCTTTGATAAGCTCCTCTCTCCATTCACTCTTCTCTCTTGACAGAACTCCTGGAAAGCAGGTCTTTGACGTTCCAACTTTCTAATCTTTTAGCTGTTTTCTCCTTTCTAATCTTTTAGCTGTTTTGTCTAATTTGGGGAAGAATTTTTCTAGTTTTCATTTAATTTCTCTATCTTCTATTTAATTCCCTAAAAATCTCTCTGATCACATTTTTGAATTTTTATGTCTTCTGATTTTTACTTTTTATAGTGTCATGTCTTTTCAATAAACACAGTGTGTCTCAGCCATCCAAGTACAGTTTTGTTTTAAATGTTTCCCCACACTGACTCTGTCTCCTCTGATTTTGCCTGGCATCTGTCTTTCACGTTAGAAGCATTCCCAGCCATCTGGTTACCCCTGGCTGCTCATCATGTTTCAGAGTGAGCCACAAAGGCCCACAGGAGGCTAGGTATTCATGGGTGGGGTTTACTGTTTTGTGGGTTTCACCTAGGCCTGGTGGTGAATGACGAGGTGGGTTCCTAGCTTTTCACTGGGACAATCCCCCAAATGTCAGCATCTTTTATGTCTTTTCTTGTGTCATTTGGATTTCCCAAAGGAAGATCCTATAATCTCTTGTCCAGGGAAATAGGCCCAGGTGAAGAAGTCCTATTAGCTGGGTGGGAAGGAGGAAGAGGAAAGGTCATACTATTTACTAAGGTATCCCCACTGTCTGGAGGCTCTTTGGTTCAGTTTCTTCAAAGAATATAAATCTCTTGTCTTCAAGCAAGGGAGAAAGCATTCACATTAGCTGTATGAAGCTGGTGTAGGACTTGTGAGTTCTAACTGCTCCTTACACAGACTTTCAATCAACCCTCAATAGTCAGCCCAGATCCATCCTAACCATTTGCCTCCGATCCTGGCCCTGCAGAATGAATCAAATTACTTTTCACCGATGACTGTCTCCCTAGATTTCACCATCCTCCACTCCTCTAGGTCACTCACCTCACTTCCAACAGACTCAAAATGTCTAAATCCTCTATTTTGAGGTACTCTTGCCTCTCTAGTTGTCTTTGTGGCTTTATGCATTGTTGAGTTTGTTTGTTTGTTTGTTTTTTCTGTTTTACTCTAATTTTAGTGATCAATCCACCATGTCTAACTGGATGTCTAAATGTTAGAATTTTAATTGGTTCAAGTGTAAAATTTCTGAGCATTTGAGGAAAAATACACTAGACTCTAGATGTTTGTAAAATTTGACTTTTAGGGTTTCCCTCCTCTACAGGCAACTCTGAAGGTTCAAGAAATGCAGAACGTCATGACCTGGGGGAGGCATGCATTAATGCAGGGGGCTTAGCTAATGCCTGAGCAGCATCTCCACGCAGCAATGCCGCTCTCTACTTGTCAGACTAGCATCAAACAATTAAAGTGGTTTCTTTCCAAGGAGAGGTCATTACGTGGAACGAAAGCTCTCAGACTGAAAGGATGATACGCTTATGTTATGTGGCTATGAATAAGAAACATCTGACTCAGACAGAAATGTAATTTAGGGAAAAGCCAGAAGTCTGCATAAACATTTCTGTATTTGTAAACTTGAGAATTCTCTAAATTCTTTGGACATACACTTACCAGTTGTCAAGGACTGATTGACTTTTTAAGATCTAATGGATATACTCATCCCCAACCAAGTCAATTAAGTTTCTCATGGAGGCCATGGCTAAAAAAGGAGGCTCCAAAACCATTCTCTGGGTTCCTGAGTTTTTTTCCTCCATTATTATAAGTACAGGAAGACTTGTTTTAAAAAGTAACCTTCATAAGATGCTATGTTATGGATCATGGGGCTTATAATCAACGGCTTCAGAATAAATGATTCAAATGATTTCTGAAACACGACATATCATTAGCATATATTTAAAATTCTCATATTCATAAAATGACTGCATTTTCATTTCCCCATTTTTCAGACAGTTTTGGAAACTAATATTAAAGTAATCAGCAGCGTTTTTCTCTCTTTTTTTTGCAATTAATGAAGAACTTCTAAGAAGCACTATGCTCACTCTAGTAATTTACTTACTTGATTCCAAACCCTTCATCTTAGATGTGTCTCTCTCGCCTTTTTCAAAGTAAAATAAATATCCTCTTAAAAAGCCTCTAAGCTCTTCCACAGGAATATCTTCCCATTTTACTAATATCGAGTCTGCAGATGTATCCTCAACAGTAAAATTTGGTGCAACTATTGGAGCTGTAAAAGGAAAAAAAGTTAATAGCTAAAGGAGAGTTTCCTAACAGAGAGCAAGACATTAATGTTTAATGAAATTTCTAGCCTGGAAAAGCTTGGAAAAACTTTATTCTCTATTAAATCAAAAACTTTCACAGATATTATCACAAACACTTTTGCTGTGAAGCTAATAATTAGACACACAAAGGCAGAACTTAGTACAACTTCTGGACATAACACACATCTTGAGAAACTACCTATGCAAAATCTTTAAGTGGCTACTCAAATAGACTTCATTTACATTTCCAGACTATTTATTGATAGTCTGGAATAAGTAAATAGTTGTTTAAATTTACATAAATGCAAATTAAATATTTTTGAAATCTAAATTGATTTAATTTTCCGATGACAATTAAATTGTGAAATATAAATATTCAACCAATGAAGAATAAGTAATCATAATTTTAAATTTATCATACAAATTATTTTTCCTTCCTTGAAGAGGCCAATTTAATCTATTTTTAGAGTCTACTTGTCAATTTATAATTTCTCATGTTACCTTGAACTCTAAGAAAACTTACCCATTTAACTTACCCAATTCTTCTATATATCCAATTACAGAACGTAATAATTGATAGCCTTGATTTCTGCACCCATACAGGAAAAAATTATATCTTACACCTGGTCGAAATTGATCTATAGGATGAAGACAATCAGTAAACTTTCATAAGTACACATTACTATATCTTTTTAGAAATATCAAATTTATGATAACTTACTCTGAAATTTCCAAAGCTAATTTTAAACAGATATTTTATTATAAAAAATTCATCCATATTTTCTAAACCGGTAAATATTCAGAGTGAAAACTGACTAAAAGTTAAACAAATTAGCTTCTATTATAATAAAAAGTTTAGCTTTATAACATGATAACACTTTGAAGAGAAAAAAAAATGGTGATCGAGATTTTGATTTTGTTCTTTAAAATCAAGCAATGATGACTTCTTCCCAGATTTGGTCCAGGCTCAGTTTACTAATCTATCCTCGGTCTACATCATGTTTCTGAAAAGCCTTTCCCTAACTAGTGTTGGTTCTAGGTTGGAAAGCAATCACTGCTCTCCCCTTGCTCCAAGAAGCAGATACTAAAATTTCCACTCTATTCTGATGCTTCAGTGTTAAAACAATTGGGCCTTAGAGACTGTTCCTCTTTAAAGAATTACCATTTAGTGCCCTGAGTAAAATTCACGAGACACACAAGAGAAGCACTGTAACTTCAATTCGAAAAGCCCCCTTGAAATGCCTCCTCAGTACAAGGCCACGTGCGAAATGTTGGGAACACAGAGGTGGTCATAACGAAGTTGGCAGAGAGGTGGGATGACAGACAAGCAGGGGTAACCATAACACAGGGTGTTAGACTGGAGGGACCTACCATAGGCAGTGGCACCTTCAAGGAGGGAAAAGCCACCAAGAAGTGATATCTGAACAGGGCCCTGAAGGGCAATTAGAACATCAGTGATCTACAGGCTCAAAAGTGAGGTGATCAACCTCTGATATCATTTTGAACTTTTTTCTTTGGAGACAGGAACACTTGAGATTATGACTTTATACTGCATGTACGTTAGTAAATCTGCACCTAGTTTTATGTGTCAATTACGTACATTTATATTCTACAGGGTTCTGATGCCTAAGAAGAGCCTGAATGGGTTAGAGCATAAGGAATGTGTTTTGAGGTCATAAAGGAGAGAGGAAAGTTAAAGAGTAGATCACTGGATGAGGAAGGAGTAGGAGTGCCAACTATGGCCACACATTGTTCTATTGGCAGAAAACAAAAGACAAAATTCCCAGCCTTCTGAAGCTTTGAATTGCTCTGAATTTGAATCCTGGTGCTAGCACACACTAATATTGTCACCTTGGCCAAGTTACCTACTTCTCTCAACGGCTGTAGACTTTGCTCATCTGCCTTGGCATATAAAGTTTTTCTTGACCTCCAGGTGTCAGCTTAAACTTACAAGCCAGATTCTGTATCTAAGGAGACACCTCGCCCCTGACTCCACCTGCCCTGGTCTGTCCTGACCATCCTCAAAGCCCAGGTGAGAAAGAACAGAAGATGGGTTAGAAAGTATGCAGAGTACACTAGATAGGGGTAAGGCTCAGGCGGCTTCACGTTGGGCAAAAGACAAGAAAGAGGAGGGTGGGGTGCAGCCAGGCACGCTGACAAGTGCGGTACGCTGGAAGAAAGGACGAAGGGAGCCATTCTGCCCTGGCCAGTTATGCATGGGAAGGAGTTTGGCTGTATTCCAAGTAGAACTAGAAAATAACCCACGTAGTAATCTAATGAACGAGACTCATCTTTACCATTTGACAGCAAAAAACAAAAAACAAAAAAAAGGAAACAAGTAGAACTTGTTCTCTGGAAGAGAACAGTCAGCAGCTGCTTGCTCTCCTGAACTTCACTAACGTGTGAGGGGGCGCCGTGAGAGGGACAGGACATCACTACCCACAGGCTGCACGCTCCAGAATTCCCACGAGTAGAGACACGATACCCACATCAGCTGCTCAGAAGGAACAGTGACAGTAGAAAGAGGGCAGTAATTCCCACGAACAGGCTGGTTTGGGCTGTACGGTGGCAAGTGGCCCTGTGGCTGAACTTAGGCTGCACCATATCAAGGGCTGCCTGGCGAAGAGGCTCAGGGCTTGTCAGCATCTGGCACTGGGAACTGGCCGCTGCCCGTGCTGTGCCCCCGCCACACCGATGCCCCCTTGACCAACGAACAGCAGGCAAAGCGGTAATGTGTGCAGGTCCTGTTCTCAGTCTCTCTCTAACCTCAGTAACCCAGGCCCTGGGCAAAGAACGGCAAAAGGACCTGAGTGAGGCCACTCTCCTGGGTTTTGTCGTCTTCTTTTCATGAACATTTCCCCATGTTGTTAAATCTTCAACACAGGGTTTAGTGCTACTTAACATTGCATTTTATCAATATACGATAATTGACTCATTTTCCTATTAGCTATTTTGATGGTTTTCAATTTTTATGATTATAAGCAATGCTGTGATGAACACTTTTAGATGTAAATCTGTGTTGTTCTCCGATTATTTCTTAGAGTAAATTCCTAGACAAGTAATACTAGATCAAAGGCTATGAATCCTTTCACATACATTCAGCCACAAACCACCTTCCAGAAAAGTTAAACCAGTCCAAACCCAGCCCATTCTTAAGGGAGAACAGTCACTTCAGTGTAGCCAGTCATGCCATGAATTGCTCTTTTTAAAAATATTTTTGAAGGACTCTGAGAGGCACTTACCAGATTCTATTACGGTTTCGGTGCTGTTTGAAGGGACTTTTTTCCAGTCCATAAGGCAGGGCTCAGACTGAGATGAATTACACCATTTAATCACATAGTCACAAGTCATGTTGGGATCGTAATTCCAAGTGAGGAGAATCCCATTTCCCATCCCAACAGCCTGCTCTATTTTGAGATCATCTTCAACAAGAGAAAAGAATATTTTACTATAGTTAAAAATAACAATATAAGTCAAATTTCATAAAAATGGGCAAGAGTTATAAAAATTACTTCACTGTACAGAAATTTTAAATAGTGCTCAAACTAGATAAACCTTTAGTAAAGTTTATTAGTATTGCTGATATTTTTGTTAACTACAGCAATTACCTGTATATATAGATTAACTTAGCAGCTGAAACAAAGTAATAAAAAAGTACCTAGGATCAGGTGGTAACAGTGTGGTCAAGGCAGGGACCAGAAGATCAAGGGCAGGGAAGGATGGGGCAGAAGGAATAAGGGCACCATAGGGGACGTGGCAGGCACAGCAAGGGGCAAGGCAGGCTGGAGGCTGGTGAGCAGCACGAATGGATGGTCTGACGCCCTCCACTCATCATCGCCGTGGATATGAGCTCTGTGAGAGCAGACGGGGCTGTGCCTGCAACCCCAGCCCGGCACAAAGTGCGCAGAGAAGGAGCGCAACACACGCTGTGAAGGGTGGATGAACTGACCCCTCTCTTCCTTTCTCGGAAGACAGCTCCCCAACACATGGGCTGAAGGGATTCTGGAGACAGAGCAGGGAGGGGAGGAATCTGCTGAAATGCTTTGGGATGAAAAGTTGTGGGGTAGGTTGGCCAGTGTGGCACAGAGAGGAAAAAGCCTAAACAAGGTCTGGGGAGGAAGGAGGGGTGAGGTGGCTGGTGGGAAGAGGCTGGTGGGAAGAGAAGGGAGGCCCGAGGTTGGGGGAGAGGAATTAGCATGGTTAGGACAGCATGGCCAAAAGGAAGAGGGCAATTTTTTCCACAGTAACAGGAAAGAGAAGTATAGCTGGCCCTTTGTGTTTGCAGGTTTTGCATCCACTGATTCGACCAACCACGAAAACAGTATTTTAGATGTGTGGCTGGGAATCCAGATGCAGAGGGCCACCTGTATGCATCGTTTGACGTCATTTTCAGTAAGGGACTTGAGCCTCCTCAGGGGTCCTGGAGCCAATCTCCCGTGGATACTGAGGGATGGCTGTAATTTCTATAACTGATGTATGTTTAAGGGTTTAGCCATAGAAAGACTTTTTAAAATTTGCACTCATAAAGCAACTATTACTGAACACAACAATTTGGCTTAAAATACAGAAGACTTTGGACATAACAGCTTTTTGGTCAACGTGATTAAAAATCCACAGCGAAACCCTGCTGAGGCCGCGAGGCTTCCCCCTTGGGAATCCCTCAAGGAGCCATGACTTGCTCTGGGGCTTCAGCAACTGACAGCTGGTGACTGGACCACTGTGAGTGCTGTAAATTAGTCTTTTGACGGACACGTGGAAAAGGTAAAAATATAATTCTTGAATGAAAAGATAACATAGCTATTGCCCATCATTGACAGCAATGAAATATCTAAATCTGTAGGTTATCTGCTTATGGGTTGTTTACACATCTCTCTCTTTTCTTTTTTTGCCTCCACCCTTTCTGGTGTGTCCACTTCTATCTGGGCTCTGGTCAGTGTTCTGCATCTCTGAGGTGCAGTAACAAGTGATAAGACACTCAGTGCCTCAAGCAAGAATTGAAAAGATACTTAGAGGACCCTAATTGGACCAACCTGTTTTCCTCTAGAAGTGGGTGGTCAAAGAAAGGCGCCTCATACTGGGACAGGACAGCAAAGGGGTGGGGGTCAGGGAATAACTCAGAAGAGGAGTCAACAGGAAGAAGAGGTAGAAGTGGCCATTTAAAACTCACGACTCAAGAAGCTGTCAAGGTAGCTAAGGAGGAACGGACTAGTTACTGGTAATCCACAAAATTTAAACAAAGTCATTAAGTAATTTTAAAATTGTACCACGATTTTTAAAGTCTATATTGAAGGTCTAATTTAGACTTTAAGAAAAATTACTTATCAATAAAGGAATCCTATTAAAAAAGAAAGTCTTATCAACAAAGCTGCCATTTAAAATGAGGATTTCCGCCCCCCACCCTTGACAGTTTGAAAATAGCCTGACATAAGCATCATCTCTCATGGTCTTGGGGAGATATAGGAAAACTGTATCTGAATAAACTGTTAAAACATTTCTTCCTAAGAGTAATATTCAAAACCATAACTCTCCAACATTATGTGTTAAAGTAATTGGATACAGTAATTATCTTATCCATCAGCATAGATGCTTCAAGTCAAGACTAATGACTGCTGTCTTTCAGTGAGCAGGTGACATTCATCTGTCTTCCTCCTTATATACCAGCCGCAGGAGGAGGATAAGAGAAGGAAGCTGTTGTATATGAGAGCAAGCGACACGTTCAAAATGTTTCACTTTAATTTCCTGTTCTTATATATTACATTATCTTAATTACTCACCATTTGGAATTTCCATACTAGCTATTTTAGAAGGTGGCGATGAGCCAACAGAATTTTGTGCCACCACACTGATAATGTAGTCATTTTTATCAAGCTCTATTTCTGCCTTGTGTTGAGGATCAGGGATCTCCGAAAGGGACTGTGTTTTCTCATCTGATGAACATGATACATTATAGAAGAGTATTTTTCCATTAGCTTCATTAATGGGTAAAGGCTATGAAACACAGAAAGATAAATTCTGTTATAAAAACCTGGAAAAGTGACTATTTGATAAGGGAAAGCCATCAAGTCTAAACTGGACACTACACTAACCATAATGAGGTAATATTAGAAAAGGTGAAGTTGTTAACAAACCATGTAAAGTCCACTGAGACCTGGATAAATCAGGAAAGTGACATTGATGAAAAATGATATGTGCTATAGGCATTAAGCGTACACAGAAATATAAAATATAACAAGTAAAGACAAAACAATGTTTAGCCTCACTTTTTTCAGAAGCAAACCAAAAATAGTTTTGAGAAGCACTGCTCTACCTAGAAATGAACAAAACAAAGAAGTATAGCATCATAGCATTTTTTCAAACATTTACTGTTTTCTCATTTTAAAGTAGTACATGGCTCATTACAGAAAATCTGTATTATTTTCTTCTGGTCTTCCGACCCCTCTGACCTTCCCTTCTCCTCCGTTGGATTCTCCTCCTTTGTTGGTCCTTCATATGCTGCCATCACCTAGGGTTCCATCCTTGGCCTCTTTCCACCTTGATCCCATTTATATGCTACTCAAAGCTTTGTCTCTAGCTCCGCTATCTCCCCCGAGCTCCAGAGCCTGACATCGAACCACTGTCTCCTGGATTCTGCTCACACATCCCAACGACACGTGCTTAAAAAACGCAACGTGTCAAAAACAACTCAAATAGGGAAGAACAATTAACCTCGTCACTGAAGTTAGACTCAATCACTTCAGTATTTTTAATCCTCGGTTAAATATTCTAGTTTGAACAACATGCCACACTTTCTGTCCACTGAAAGAACTTGTCTACTGGTTACTATGTTGCCGTGAACCTGAGAGACAATGCAGAGTGGCCACAGGGGAGCTTCTGGCCAAGGGCAAGAGGGGACACGCCCGCCGCACACAAATCGCCTCCCGCAGAGCTGCTTACGTGGAACTTGCACAGACTTCGCCGTACTCAAAACTGTACTGAGGTCGAAGTTTTGTAAAAATAACATTATTTTACTTTTAATACCAATATTCACTAAAGGAATCTGATAACGACTGCTCTTATGAAATCTGATGTAGAAAACAACTGTGTTTTTAATGTTCATAAATGAGATAAAAAAACAGCAACAAAAATAAAATGTTTGCTCCACTAGGGGGAAACCAGTAGAACACTGCAATTCATATTTTATCTAAAATTTTACAAAACTATAATTTAGAATAAAATTTATTTAAGGGAAATAAATTACACGCAAAATATATAAAAAGCTGGTTTCCTGTTCATCGAAGACAAAATGGAAAGTAAACACTCAGGATTCTAACTTCAGCTTCTGGATGTATTTCTGACTAAAGGGAGAGATAGAGAATTCATGAAATTCTTAGGTCTTTATAAGCCTCAGAAAATCAAATGACAGAATGCTCAGACCTGAGAACATCCTCACTGAAATGACCGTGATGCATCAACAGTGATGAGGAATCTGGGGGTTTGAGGAGCCAGGTTACATTCTCAGCAATACTGCTGAGCCAGTCTTGGAAATCCTGCCTCTTTGACAACCCAAGCACCATATGTAAGTTAGTTAGATAGTTTAGCATAATCAAATTAAATAAGTACTCAAGGAAAAATTAGATATTTACCTTCCAATATATTATTAAGTTTTTTCCATCAGAACTCCACTCTCTCCAAGTATCTGGTCCCTTTGAAGGAGCTAGGAAAGAGATTCAAAAGTTAGTATTTAAGATGAATACTATGTCAGTTTATAACGTTAACAATTGGGATGGTGGTGCTTGACTTTTTTTTCTAGGTTTTTGGAATTCCCAATAAAAACAAGAAAAAGTTCAGTGGTTTCCACTTAGAAAATTAAATAAGGAAAAGCTCTCAACGTCTGCAAAACACAAGGCCCCTTAAAATGGGTTAAAATCACCCTCAAGGCTGTAAGTGATGGGTCCGAGGGTGCTTCTGTCTCCCGTCCTGTCATCTCCCCTTACAGAAATTGGTTCTCACCATACACTGGCTTCCTGGCTGTTCCTCAGACATGCAGAGGACACCTGCCCCGGGCTTTCTGTACTTACGGTGCCCTCTCTTTCTCTGCCTAGAACTCTCTTCTCCTGAATGAACCATGTGGTTTGCTTCCTAACCTCCTTTATACCTGAGCTCAAGTATCTTAGTGAGGTCTCCTCCAGCTACCCTATTTAAACCTGCAACTCCCCTCTCCATCACCCATCCTTCATTTCCCAGCCCTCTTTCTAGGTTTTGTTTTTCTCTGTGCCACTCACTACCACCCAACATTCACTCTTATATCCTTGGTGACCAGAGCAACTCCTGATACACAGTAGGGACTGAATAAGTTTCCTATTTCCTATCATATGCTGCCATCACCTAGGGTTCCATCCTTGGCCTCTTTCCACCCTGCACACTCTCCCAGACTGATCCCATTTATATGCTACTCAAAGCTTTGTTTCTAGCTCCGATCTGTTAAGTGAATTAAAGCCTTCATCTTAATAAAGTATAAACAAAATATTTGTTTCCTTTTGGCAACAACAGCTGAATGACTGACGGCAAAAGTACCTGTGGTAGCCAGTCTCCAAAATGATCAGTGATATTGGTGACGCCTGATGTTCATGCCCTTGAGTGGTCCCCTCTCACACTGTATCAGGGTGGGCTTGTATGACCAACAGGGTATGGCAGGCATGATAGTATGTCCCATCTGAGGCTAGGTCATAAAAGATATCGTGGAGGAAGCCTTGTTCTCTCTTCAATCATTACTAGGAGGAGCTGGCTGCCATGTTATGAGGGCACGCCAGCAGCCCCATGGAGAAGCCCACATGGTCAGGAACTGAGGCCTCCTGCCCGTACCCACATGAGTAAAACATCCTAAAAGCAAATCCTCTAGCCTTAATCAAGCCTGCAGCCCCCACCCACATCCAGCTATAGCCTCAGGACAGACTCTAAGCCAGAGCTACACAGCTAAACTGCTCCTGAATTTCTGACCCACTGACTCTGTGAGATGATAAATGTTTGCTGTTTTACGGCACAGATTTGGAGGTAATTTGTCATGTAGCAATAGATAACTGATAGTTTTCCTCTGGACTCATGCACAGGCTTCATTTCTGATGATTCAAATAATTCTTACACATATTGCAAAGCTCCACTCCTCTCTCTAGTCTTTATATGGAGAGACAAAATCCGGATTAACATCTATAATTGTTTTACTGTTTGTTAAATTTTTTAGAAGAAGTTTTGTATTCCCTATATTATATAGTGCAAATAAAGCCTTTGTTACCTTTTGATAAATGATTACTGAAAATCACATCTATTTCTAAGTTTCTGTTATTGTTGTTGTTTGTTTTAACAATGACATGATAAAATTAGGATAGAATCTCATTCTGTCTTTGGAAATTATCATACTCTGAAAACCAGCTACCTGATTTTATACCTATTTTGATTTAAGTGTACTGCAGAAACTAAAGTTCTAGACCTTTCAGCTCCACTCCTTTCTCAAGCTTAGGTCGGAAATAAAAATTGCAATAAATTCTTTTTAGTAATGATTGTTTCTAATAAAAAGGCAAAACAGATGGTGGAAATTCTCTTTGAGAAAAACCGCCCCATAATCTCGCCGTGGTGTTGTTTGGTTTCCTGTGCACCATCCTAACGCAGCTGCAATCACACTGCAGACAGAGGGGCCTCGTCCTTCTCCACAGCACAGGCCAAGCGTTTCTCCGTAGTATCACAAAACTTTAAAAACCATCATTTAAAATGTCTGTATGTTATTATACTGGCAGATATTTTACGATTACACAATTCAAGCATTCTCCTATGTTTAGTCACTTTGGTGATTTTTTTTTAAAAAACGTTTGTAGAATTTCAAGATCCATAGTAATAATTAGCCATAAATCATTTAGTTAACTTACTGGCTTCTGTGGTTAAATACTGTTTTTCATTGCTCCATTTACTCCATTTCCAGAAAGTTTCACTAGAACAACGAATCCGAAAGGTATACATAGTATATGGATTTAACTTGTCCACAGCAACAAGATAACTTGAATTTTCTACTCCTTTGATTGTGACATTCCGCTATTAGAAAACAAATAAATATGTGCACATATATGTACATGAAATGTCATGTGTGTATGAGTACACGTATACACATACACCATTTTAATCCAAATAATGGTCAATTAAATTATGTAGAAAGGAGGATATAATTTTGATAATAGGTCAATGGTTAATGGTGATGCAATAAACCTTAATATATTTTAGTAACCTAAGATGACCTTGAGAATTACATATATTATTCAGATGATATCTGAAAGCTTACTGGAGGCAGGTATCATCTTATACATCTTTTTTTATATGGTACTTTGTACCTCTAGTATGGTGCTAAACATGTAAAATATTCAACAAATATTTAAACTAAATAAAATGAAGCAATTCAAAACAAATTTGAGGATCTGCATACTTCAAGGAAAGCCTCTGAGCTCCCAATTCTTATTACAAAGGAGCTTTTGGGGTTAAATTTTGTAGCGTGACTGATTTTCTAGAAATCATCAGTAAGTTTCAAAATGAATATTTAAATACAATATCATTTATTTTGGACTTACCACAAATTACAAGATAGTGCAGTATAAAAGTCAACCTAAGTATTTAAAATGTATTAAAAAGTCATGTTTTAACTTATAATGACCAATTATAACTTGCTCCTGTTGATGCACTTAGCAGTTTTAAAAATCACATCTTCTCTCTGGTGCCAATTAGTCCATTATCTAATGCTACAGGTTACAGCAAAAACTACTCAATCATTCACAACTTATTGAGTACCAGCCACATGCCAGGTACTATACGAGACGTGCAAACAATCTGAGTGGTACAAGTCAAACTTGGGTTCTATAATATCCACTACTATAATTGTTTTTAAGTGCTAAATATAACGCTGTTATTATATATAATATCTTGGTTCTTAGTAAATCTCTATAATAAATAATCAGAGTTTATGCATATTGAGTTTCTTAATTGTTTTTGAAAACTAAGTATTTTATCCAAAAGCATCTCTAAAGAAATTTACGAAAGAATCTTACTCACCAACTCTTGCATCGAATTAGCTTTGTTAATTTCAATTTGACACAACAGTTTAATCTTTGCAAAGCTGCCTGGTAAATGCCAGGAAAGTGTAACAGCTGTTGAATTAACATCCTTCACTCTGACTGAAGTAGGAGTATGGGGATAAACTGTAAATATAATTTTTTAAAATTAATTACTTTAAAAGCTGTTTTCTAATATGACAAATGAGAATAAAAGAAAATAAAAAACAAGAGAGGTATTGTTAGTGCTGACCAGCAATATTTAACTCAGTATTTGTGGAATACACAAAACCTGCTGACAACATGCCAACATTTTTTAAAGAACCAACCACACTCAATATTTCTCAATTGATGTCAGGAATACTAAAAGGTAGTCAGATCATAGTCTCTACCTTTAAGAAACCCCTACTTTACTTGGAGAATGACAAACAAAAAGAAAGAAAATTAACGAGAGTGTATATGTTAAGTTCTAAATGTGTGGTACACATATTAACTGCCATAGGAATTTAGATGTAAGCATGGTAAGCAAAGATGGGACTTTAAGATGAGCTTTGAAGGAAGAATCAGACTAAAGCTGGCAAAACGAATACAGAAAAGCATTTCGGGTTGGGGACCTGGGAAGCACAAAGGTACCTGGGAAGCACAAAGGTACAGCGAAGCAAAGTGCACATTACATTGGTGATAATGCATACATCGTTTTGAATGGTGGGAAAGAATCATGCAGTAAATAAAACTAAAATGCAGAAGGCAGACAAAAACATACAAACACTACCATGCAAGTACAAAATGTAGCCATTTTGTCCTTAGGAAAATCAGAAAATAACAAAGATGATGGGAAGAAGTAAAAATGACTTATATTTACAAACAAGGCAACAGGATCATCTACTAATCACTTGCCAAGCTGCATGAGAGTGCATCTGGTTTAAGCCCGTTCTCTCGTGACTGAGTCTCTAAGAGAAGGCCTCTGTGCCAGTGCTCCAGTATTGTAGAGCCTGGCATGGAGTCGATACATATGGAAGGACCATAGGAATGAATGCCAAAAAGATGGAGGATATTTTATTTCTGAGCTATATATATTTTAATAGGATTGGTAAAAATTAAGAAAATATCAGCAAATCAAAAGGAACTATTTATTGATACATTTGAATAGACCTCATGGACATTACCCTTAGTAAAAAATGCCAACTTCGAAGGTTATATAACTGGTATGATTCCATTTATATAACACTCTCAAAATGGCAAAATAGAGATGGAGAACGGATTCGTTGTTGCCTGGGGACAGGGATGTGTGTGTGTGTGCGGGGGGCAGTTTGCTAAAGGGGCAGCATGAAGTAGTTCCTTTGTGGTGGCAGAACAGTTCTGTATCTTGTGTTGGTTCTATGAATCTGTATATGAATCCAATTGCACAAAACTACATGCACGAGCACGTGCACGTGCACGCGCGCGCGTGCGCGCGCACACACACACACACACACACACACACACACACACAAACTGAATGTATACAAAAACCAGTGAAAACTGAGCGAGGTCACGAGTCCAGCTCAGTAGTGCGGTTCACAGCGTTGTACCAGCGCCAACTGCCTGGTCTGGACACAGTGCTATGGTTACATAAACATGACCACTGGGGAAAGCCAGGTGAAGGGGTCACAGAGCTCTAATTTATTATTTTTGCAACCACTAATGAGTCTACAATTATTTCAAAATACAATGTCTTTAAAAATTTGGCAAAAAATTTTTCAGAAATCAAAAACTATTAGGTAAAGCCACTGACAGTTTCTATGAAAATGACTAATTCAAAATTTTATTTGAATTCAGTAAAATGGTAAAACTCGAAATTATACATTTTATAGATTTAAAAATAAAATATATAAGGTTAATGTTAATTATAAAAAAATAATTAGTAAAAAGTAATCCCTGTAAGTACTTTTCATTAGTCTCAAGACATTTCACCACTTCTAAAGTTATTTTTAAGACATTGATTTATGTAGCAGCTTACCTTTTTCAGTCGTGTTAACTAAAATTGCTGATTCTGATTGACCCAGAGGATTGCGAGCGTTCAAAGTAAAATTATATATTTCTTGATTTGGAAGCACTTGAAAGAATAACTGATAGCTTTCATTGGTGGGCGCTTCAACTCTTTTAAATCTAACATATTTTCCTGAAAAACTGCAAATGAAGAGAGGAATAAGGAATAATGAAATAATATCAAAATGGCAAGAGATAAATAGTGCAGAAAAAAAACGAATAGGTAAGTTTCAAACAAGTAATCTTTTCAAAGTGTTTATATTCCTAATTATAGATGTATTTTATACTCAGGGAAAAAATGTACATGAGATAGTAAATAGAAAAACAATAATCAGCCATAAGCCAACTACCAAGAAATAGTCTATTCATATTTGAGATGTCTGGCTTCTAGGCTTTTTAGAAAAAGAGACAAATTGAGTTTGTATGCATCAAACAGCAGTACTGATAGGATACCCAATTTTACACTGCATATCTGGTTTTATATCTTGCTCATACTATAAATGAGACAGAGCACTGCCCTATGTCATGAAACATCCTTCTCACGTACTCCTTACTGATTAAGTGTGACTTCTTTTCCTGGTGACCTTTACCTTTCAAATAAAGTGTAACTTGTATTGCGTGGGCCCACCAATGCTGTTGGTCTTCCTGGATCCCAAGTGCATATAATCTCTTTTAAATCATGTGTCTCACAGTTCAGTTTTTGAGGAATATCAGGTGGATCTAAAAGGGGGGGGGGAAATGTAGTTATTGTTACATATATTTTCCCTGAAAATGTTATATTTCATATGTTAATTACATTTTGTACAATTTCCTTAAAAAATGAAATAATTTATTGTTTACATTTTACTTTTTGAACAATGCAGGAACTACCCTTCTTTCTATAGCATGTTTTTTTTGAGTTCATATTATATTAGAAATGATAAATTAAAATATGCTGAAAAGTGACTATTAGCTCATTTGAAAACTCTCCAATAGCAACCTGAGGACAGTATCATTTTTTCCCCTTAAATCCTATTTTAGTCTACCAAATCGCTCAAAGGAAGTTATGTCCAACAAGTTAAGTCAGAAAAATATACAGATCAAAAGTATTATTATCTATCATCTACATATTATGTTTTGAAAAGAAGTACTACATCGTATTAAAGATCAACGTAAGTTATGTCACGAGTTTCAGAGTTTTTAAATAAGCAAGGACTATTATTTACAAAGTAATTCTCAGTAAAATTCTACATCTTCCCATATTCAAAGTGACTACTGCTCTTCTGTTGTTTTTGTTCTTTATTGAAACTATTCTCTGTGGCTTTGTTCAAGCAGGACTAGAAAAATAAAAAGTAGTTTTTTTAGTGTGTGTGAGACTTTTAGTGATAAGAAAAAATTCTGTAGTCTGACACTGATTATAGAAATTGATATTTCTGTAATCATGTTTAACCAAACTTATATAGAAACTGATACTTCCTACTGTCATATTTATCCAACTATCTGTCACTGAAGGAAAGTTTAAAAAAAAAAAACAATAATCTACCCATTAGAAAATACTGTAAAATAATTTTATTTAAAAATAACTAATTTTTTAAAAGTTCTTATTTTATCAACCAAGACTTAGAAAATTACATTTATCTTCCTCAGCAAAATGTCCTCTATTGATATTTTAGGTAATATCAGGAAGAGTAATTAGTATTTATATGAAAGTCTAATAACTGGATAATAAAACTAACATTGACATATTTGTTTTGAAAATCGTTTTAAATCTAAGGCCAAATTTTCATTCATTTTATTAAAATGACATACCAAAGTTTTTAGAATATTTAAAAATCTCATTATTTTAGTATTTGGCAGATATATTAAGTTGAAATACTTAAAATCCAAATAACCGGAGAAAGTTAGAAAGAATAGAAGCAAAGACAGAGGGAAAAAATATGAGAGGGCAGTATTTGAAAGGTATAGATTTTTTTCCCCCACAAATTAACTTACAAAAGAATCAGCTACAGCTGGGCAAAAGCTGGGTATAAGTCAATTGCATTTCTATTTATCAGCAAACAGAAAAATGCAATTTAAAAAACAAAGCCATTTTTTATGAAAATATTTTCAAATGAGAAAGCATAAAATTTGACAAATATTTACATGCTCTAATCCTATTTTACAGAGCATTATTTTAAAATATCTTAAGTATAATGAAAGATTAACATTTAGGTCGACATTTAATGCTAAAATAACACTATCAATAAAAATAACTCATTTGAAAGATTACTGAACAAAAATGTTTATAAAAGGTCTATTTTGCTTATGACTAAATTAGCACATGCATGAACACTGAAAAATATTGGCAAATAATTATTCTTCTGTCTTCTATATCATAAATTTATTTTAATAAACAGGGAAAGAAGCCATTTTTATTAGCACAAACATCAAACACATAGGAGTAAATTTACTAAAAGATATACAAGACCTCATATCACTAAAATAAATTAAAGACCGAACTAACTAATAGGAGGGATATACCATCATGGTTTAGATGATCAATATTCTAAGAATGAAAATTTTCCTATATTGATCTCTTAAACTGATAGATTTAATGTAATCCAAATCAAAATCCTGGCAGGTTTTGATTACGTATGTGCACGTATAGGGGAAAGTGACAAGCTGATTCTAAAATTCTTTTCGGTCTTTTCTATAAATTGCAGGTTAACAGAATATCCATAAGGGAAAGGAAATAAATGAATCTTGATCCCTGACTCACACCATAAACTGCCCTTGTAAATTTCTAAAGGGCTCCCTCCTAATGGGAATTCTACAGCTGCTCCTGAGTTGTCAAATACTGAGCAATATGTCAACCTCCAAATGTTACAAATGACGGTTAAATTATGAATTAAATGAGTCTGTTCTATAAGTATGATAAAAGATTAGAACACTATTCAAAATAATAAAAACTGTGTACGTTCTCATCTTTTAAGTTTTAATTTTTTGCTTTTGTGCTATGAAGTGAATATTTCACTTTTTGGTATCATTACATTTACCACTGGTTCTCAACTTAGACTCCATGATCATTTCTGTGGAATGTTGCGAGTCATTTCCTAAATTCCATTAGGAAAAGAAAATTTAATTTTCTAAAATTTAAATTTGAACATAGCCTCACCCTCACTTGAATTCCACAATGCATTACTGAGATGGCAAAAAGAGAGTAAGGTTACAGACATCAAGCTGAGAAGTGCACCTAATCCTGGTCTTTCTTTTGGAAGTAGATCAGCAACTGAACATAATTCATCATAAGTTTCTATGGAAGTGAAAAAGATACTGAGAACGGCTGATCTAAAGCACAGCTGAAAATCATAAAATAAAAAATAAGATAATCACTAAGCAATCAAAAAAAAATCACAAAAACCACTCACTACATTTCACACATTTTATTCATGAGACTCTTAGACCAAACACAGAGCCTTTAATCCAGAATGCAGGGTGGACAGGAAACACTGCTGGAGGCCAAGCCATCAGTGCACCACATTATAGTAACCACAGGGGAGGGGACAGGAAAACTCGAGATGCAAAATCATCTGTGGACAGTCCCACACAACAACTTTGGGAAATGCTGCGGCATTTTAAAACGGTAGGAGTGACTGTGTTAATAAAGAGGCCCTGCATTTTGGAGCATACATTACACATACAACACAGTGAGACCGGAAGTCTCCTGCACATGCCATCTGGTTATCCTCTTCTCAAATATGTTATTTTAAGAGTTGGAGAAGCATATAGTATGCTATTGAAAGATTTTGTGTAAACTAATTTCAATTTCTTTAATTAGGGTACTTATTTTAAAAAAGGTATGCTGTGATTAGGTGGCAAATTAACTCCTATTTGTAGGATTAAGAGATATTATGTACTAACCTCCCTTGACTCAACAAAGGTGTTAACTAAGAATTTAAACTAAAAGTTAGCTGCTGAAGGTTTCAAATCTTATTACAAAACCTACAAGTTATATAGATACAAGTATATAGAAACAAACTTAGAACTCTTTAAACAAGCAAAAATTCTGGTGCCTTCATATATCTTTTATATTAAAGAATTAAAAAATAAGAAAGAAATGGAATCACCCCTGTCCCCAAAAAGCATTAAGGCTTTTGGAAAGGATAAAAACAAATAAAAACGGAACTTTTTTTAAAGAATATTTTATACTTACAGCCCACAAAAATAACTGTTCCAAAAATGTTTTCTTTTGTTGTGAAAACCACATTTGTTCCACTATTTTCAGAAACAGAAATATTATAGATCTTGATTGCAACACTTTCCCCATCAAGATGAATAAGGGGACATTTTGTATAGCCGATCTGTGCTGATATCACTTTTTCTTGAGTCACACAACAAAATGTTATATCTGAGCCCACGAGTATCACTTTGTCTTGAGGAAAAACCTTACTCTGCAAATCAGAAGACCCTAGAAAGAGCAAAAGGAATTACAAGGAATTACAAATCCTTCAGAAGTCTTTTACCATAAAATAGCTCGGTGTATTCAAAACATACTGTTAGGTGCTTTGTAATAACTGTGGCCCAAAAATAAGTCCCCCAGGTTCCAAAGGAGAAAGACATATACAAGAAATGAAATAAACGTGTGGTTTTATTTACATATGGTGGGGTGAGGTGGGAGAGCAGAAGAGACTGTAGGTCAATGTCTAAGACCACAGGTTAACGTCTAAGAAGTTTTAAAGGTTCAATAAATGGATTTATATCCACATGCAAACAATCAACACCAAGAAAAAGTCACTCATTAAATAATTCCATTCCTCTGAAATGATTCTATGTATTTAGAGCAGACTTTCTACTTTCCATCACCCTAAATATGTTTGAGCCCCCCACATCATAAAAATCACTTTTTCTTTAATCCTAACTCTTTGTAGGTTAAAGCTGCACCTTTGTTTTTGTTTTTTGTTTTCATAAATATCCAATCTCTGTAATTACGTCTACTCTCTTTTCTACCTATTTATTCTTTCACAGACTGCTACCCAGTTTCTACCCTGACCATTCTACTAAAGTGGCTGGCTGGTCTAATCACTCAATTCAAGGGCCACTTCTCAGTAATCTTCCCCTTTGCCTTCACAGCATCTGGTACGCTGCCTAAAGTTTTCTTGAAACTCCCGTCTCTCTTGGGTTCTGTACCACTTTACCCTCGTGGACTACTCTTAACCCTCTGCTATTTGCTTTCCTGGCCTCTTTTTTTCCCATCCTCCTCTTAGACATACAAGCTTCTAAGAGATGGGTCTTTGGTCTCTATTCCCCTTTTCCTGAATTATGGTAACCTCGAGGATTTAAATTTTTTTCCTATCACATATATGCTGATGATTCATAAATATGCACCTCTAGCTCCAACTAATCATCTGGATGCCAAACTTGATTTCACTGCTACCCAGACACTTCATATGTACCTCAAGCTCAATGAGAATGAAAATGAAATTGATTTTTCCCATCTAATTTGTTCATATATTTTTTGTCTCAGTGAATGGCATCACCAGTCACCCAGCTGCCCAAACTAATAGTCACCTTTGGCTCTACATCTCCCTTACCAAATTCACAGTCGTTAATTCTAATTCTGTCTCTTCATTGCTTTCACACCTTTTCCCCTTTATAATGTCTAAACCCAAGTGTCCTAGTTACGCCTTCAGTGTTTTTTGCTTAACTCCAACTAGATTCTCTTTATCTACCTGCTTTCAGTCCTTTCTTCCTCTTGATTCATTTCTCCATATTGTCACTAAAGTGAATAATCCACAATGATCATCATCCTTTTTAAGGCTTCATTTTATTGTCAATAGTTTTCTGGGCCCTCTCTAATACTGCCAGCATTCTACCTGCATTTGAGTTTTATTCAATGTACCAGTGATTTTCGGCATGTTTGCAGATTCTCATATTCTCTGCAATATCTCTGCTCTGTGGAAGAGAAACAGGGAGCCATTTTTTTAAAATTTAGACTTGGTCTCTTTACCACCAATATAAAATTTTTAAATGTTCTTCAATGCGTACCACAGTGATTTTCAAACTTGGATGTTTATCTAGTCACTCAGGAAGTTCTTTAAAAATACAGATTCCTGAAGCCTATCTCAGACTTTTTGAATCGAAAGGTTCTGGGATGGGTGACTTGGAAGATTCCCAGGTAACCCTCGTGCTGCTAAATGGAGCTCAGAGAACTGAAAGCTTAAACTAAAACTTACCCTTAAGCAAGATTAATCTAATTCACTTGAAACAAAAATTCTTTAAATACAAGCTTACGAGAAATGTTCTTCAGTGGGCTCCAGTCACTCCACTCTTTGCGACCAGAAAAATGAGGATCGTCAATGTAGCATCTAATTCCCACATAGTGCGTGGCACATTCCAAGGGCATGTCTGAGGTCCAGCTCCAGTGATGAACTGTATCTTTACCATTCAGAGTTGTGTTGTAGGTCATCTAAAAAATGAACATGAAAACAAAATTATATTTCCCAGTAGTGATATGTTCTGCTTTCCTTTAGGATTAAAAAATACAACAGACTGTATAAAAACACCAGCTAAGTAAGTTAAAGGTTTGTCCTTTTGTAAAACTATCTCGGTTTTCTATAAGGCATAATAGGAGAGTTATAGTAACAATAATCATGAATCATTTATGTTTACTTCTTCAACTTTAGGCCCTACTTTATTATTATTCAAGATGCTGATATTCAAAACATTCAATACAGTTCACAAAAAAATATACCATTGCCTTAAATAATCTTCATTTGTCACAGAGAATAATAAGTTTATACTTCCAAGAGTTAGTCAAAGAGAGAAGCATCTCAACAAACTAAATTATTGTTTTAGACTGCATGTTTTTTACATAAGTGTTCTATATTTTAAATTTTATTTTTAAACATGCAACTTATAATAATATAAAATATTAATGTCCATTGTGAAAAACAGACAAGATTTCAATTAAATATTGAAGATTTACTAAAAGAGACCTTGGGATTTCCAGTTAAAGACAATAAATAAAGGCATTTCCTTCTCTCACTCTACAATGAGAGTATACCAAACTTTTTAAAGATGTAAATGCACAAGGGTAAAAAGTAGAAGAAACAGAAACAGTGAAATTCTGGATGCTGGAAAGCAGAAAAACAATGGTAACTGACTCAGAAGACCGGAGAAAGCTGAAGGTCAAGCCTCCAATGAGAAAGCCAGAAACAATCTTGAAAGTTGTTCAAAGATATGTTAGGTACCCAGATCCCCTCCCACATTCTATGCTACCGAAGGACTACTTTTTTTCACCTTGGCATGAAGAATGGAGGTTCACGCTCTGGAAAAGTAAAACAGAATACCTCTGGATTGAAGAACCTCAAGAAGGGTTGAGAAAGGGGAATACTGTACCAAAAATGGGGACCACTAACCTATGTATTCTGAAGACTGGGTCAAGACTCCTGCCTCTTCCCCTAGTCAGTTCCCAAAATAGAGATGGCCAAGTTCGGATTGACCAGGTAGGACTCTAAACAAACATTTCTGAGGCATATGAACAGGTCAAGATAAAAAGCTAAAATAATATTAAAATTTTGCCTAAAATAATTTTAATAACTAGATAGTCCAACCTAATTACCTATGATGAGCCTCAGTCAACAAGTCTCATGTAGGCACAAAAAGAAGTTCTAATTAGATTTTTCTTATTAAGAGCTACTCACTTAAATATGAACCGCAACCAAGATGACCAGAAAGTGGAGAAAAGTTCTAATAAAAAAACTCAAAGATTGAAACAAAGAAAAAAACAACTTGAAGAAACACACTACACAGAAAGAAAAAAACAGTTTTTTAAATCACTGATACTCTCAGAGATAAGATATTGCATTCATGAAACAAGAATTCGATACATTTTAAAAAAGAACAAAGACCAAAAATCAGCTCTTTCTTGTAAATTAAAAAAATATATGTTAATAGAAATTCAATAGCAGGATTGTAAGATAAAGCTTAGGAAAAATTGCTCAGAAAATATAGCAACAGGCATTTGAAAAGTAACAATGATAAGACAATTAGAGGACCATTCTGGAAGATATACTTTCTAAAGAACATAAGTTCTAAGGGAAAAAAGGAGAAAACAGAGATGAGGAAATCAAAGACACAAAAATAAGAAAATTTCCCAAGCTGATCACATGTTTTCAGACTGAAAAGTTCCCCAAATGAGCGTCCGCACAACCGATGAAAATAAATCCATGATCAAAAAAAGAAAAAAAAAATTCTTTTTTGAATAATGCCTTCAAAAATCTAGAGAAAATTTCCCAATCTAGAATTCTATGCCTAGCTAAACCACCAATCATGAGTGAATGCAGTATAAGGACATTTTAAGAAATGTCATGTCACAATGTATTCATCAAGTAGCATTTTATATTCCCACTAGAAATGTATGAAAGTTCCAATTGTTCTGCATCTCTTCAATATTTGAAGTCAACAGTCTTTTAAAATTTTTTAAAATTTTGTTGGCAACTAATTTAAATTAAAAAAAATAAAATACATCTGCAAGGTAGTATTATAAAGAGCAGAGAATATCTATAATAAAAAGCAAATAACTACCAGAACATCTGCTTTCACCCAAAATGAAGACATAAAAGGAAGACAGGGAATTCAGGAAAAAGAGGATCCATCAAAAGGTAAAAGGAATCTCCTGGATGATCATGGAGACCCCTTGGACCATAGCTTTCTGACGAATGTGCCATAAGACAATGAAGTTTGTCTTGAATGGGTTATGGGTATATCTAGGTTTTAATCTACAAACATAGGGTTGGCTGATAGAAGCTGAGACCACTGGAACTCCTGAAAACACTTCTTGCCACAAGAATTCTCAGCTATTCGCCCCACTCTATGCTTTACAAATATTGTCAGTGTCTGTGTATGTCTTTGTGAGCCCTTATATGAAAAGGATTGGGCAGTAAATCAGAAGGCCCTCCGAGAAATTTATTCACAAATATATAACTGATAAAACACTAGTATGTTTGAACATTCGACAGTAGATTTACACAACCTGGAGAGAATTTAGGATTGAATTAATGAAGCAGACTAAATAAAACTAAAAATACAAGACAATACAAGAAATTATAACACATACACACACACACATACACAAGAAAGAGTACACACTACCTGGTTCAGTTGTGAGCAGTGTTTCTACCACCATAATACAAACAATGACTACTGGTCTACCAATGGTCTACCAATAATTACAGCAGAACAATATTGGAAAAAGATAGAAAATATAAGAGAGAGAGGGAGAGAAAGAGGGAGTAAGGGGGAAGAGGTCAGGGAGAGAGTAATAGAAAGCCACCTGGAGCATGGAAGCAAGCACACAAGCATGTGAGTGTGTGTGCCTGGGCTAGGAGGTGAGAGGGGACTAATTTTCATCTTCCATTGTGCAAAGTTAATAAAACATTGCTCAAAATTGAAACAAGAAAGAAAAACCAATATTAGCGTGCTATTTGGAAAAAATGAAGATTAAAAAAGAATTGCTAAAATTGCATTGAAATTGGCTGTTTACAGAGAAAGAAAAATGAGGGGAGGGGAGGGTGCTGCATAACTCCCAGGGGTCATTCGCATCCTGGTCTGTGCCATGCACAGCTTCCATGGCTACAGGTGAGGCCATGAGCAGAAACTGTCAAGTTAAAAACGACACATAATAAATAAAACACTAATGTATAGTGTTCTTGATCTTTAAACTATTACAATAGCATTATAAGCTGTCATAAAATGACTGATTGTAAGCAATTCTAACTTAAACACTGATATTAATAATGTAAAATTATAAATAAAAAATGTCACATTTTTTGGACCTGGATCATTTATTCTCATTATTTCAATTTTTAAAATTAATTTGTTCTATCTCTATTTTTGTTACCTCTTGCTACATCTCCCCATACAAAGATTTTTCTTCAAAGATCATATTCCCAAAAGTAAGGAATTACTACTACCTTGTCTTTATTGTCTTGTTATGCATCTTGTGGCAATGAGTCATATAACCTTAGAACAATATTTCCATTCATTCATGTTTGATTTTACTCACACTTCAAAGAGTATCCCTCTTATCCTACCATCCCTAAGTCAGTTTTAAAAATAAATGTCTAACCAATGTACTATATACCTGAAACTAAATAAAATAAAAAATAAAAATAAAAAAATATAGTCCACAAAGTACTGACAACTAACAGTTGTTTAACAGCTTTATAAATATACCATGAACTAGAGGACATAATAGCACCACTTTACAAATGAGGAAAAGGTTTCAAGAAGTCACCCTAAGCCAATAAGTAGTAACTCAGAAACGAAATGCTAAGTCATAATAAAAGGCTAACGATTTTCAATAGGTAATAATTTTAAGACAATAATGGCAGAGCTAGATCAAATCTAGCTGCGAATCAGATTGACAAACAAGAACTGCCATTAAAATTCAAGAAAAGAAAGAGCATTTTAGGCTGAGATAATTAGAATGGGCTTTAAAATAAAGGGTAGGATTTGGCCTGGGTCTTGAAATGTGAGTTCGACTTGGATAGGTGAAAAAAAAGGAGGGTACATTTGCTTATTATGTAAAATAGACTGTAGTGATTAGTTGCATTGGCTATGGAACAAAACAGCCTGGCTTCACATTTTGGCTCCACCACTTAATGTCTTCCTGTGACTGTATTTCATCTGTAAAATGGGGATGATGCTAATAGTACCTCCTTCATGGGTCTGTTGTGAGGATGCAAAGAGTTAACATAGAGAGAGCTTTTACAATAAAAAAATATGAAAATAGCAAATAGGAGTATTATTTTAGGAATATAATACTTAGGTTGTCAAAAAGGAAAAGTAAGACAGTAACTAAGAAATACAGAATAATCCTATTTGTTATCTTTACTCTTATCTATGGCAAATAAATTGTAAAATCATGAAATGGTTTTCTAATTCTTTTTTTTCTAATTCTTAAATTTATACCTAAGCATATTTCAAAACCATTAAGAAAGAAAAGAATAGAAGAGTAAAAGGGGGAATTATCACATACTAGCTGTCAAAACTTTTCACTACTTCTTCTCATTGTCCCTTAGATTAAGAGCAAATTAAGATAGGTTAAAGGAAACCATTCATAAACAGATTTTTAAAAAATAAGAAAAAAAGCATGTACTACTAAATACAAGAATGTTATTTTAGATTAAGATAAATTCAAACTTACAGATTTATACAAAATTTTTCAACAATTACTATGGCTAAATATATTTCAAAACATTTATTTTTATGTTTATAGTATTAGACAAAGATAAAAATGAAACTAAATTATATGTACACTTTTATTTCATTTATGTAAAAACATGCATATAAAATGCCTAGACAATATACAAAAATAATGTTTACTGTGTGCAAGTGGCATAATTGTGGATTAGTCCTCCCTTAATCTCCTAAACTTCTTCTAATGGTTACACATTATTTTAATGATTAAAGATTTTGAGTCATGGCATATAGTTTTTAACGAAGCCTGAAAGGATATCCGATCTACTTCTTTAATAATCCAAAGGTTCACTGATGTCACTTTAAAAATCTTTTTACAAAGTAAAAAGTTTCTCTAATGTTACAGGAAAAGAAAATCTGTTTTATTCAGACTTACTAATTTTATGACTTCCACATTCTCTTTATGTAGAATTTTAATTTCCCAAATGACATTCGAGTGATGTGGAAAAACAGAACCCTTATCATTCCACTTTAGATGTAACGTAGAAGTTGGGAAATCGGCAGACAAATTCAAGATCTCTGGTGTGTCTGGAATGAAGGCTTAAAAAAGGAAACAAAAGATAAAACTTAGTAAAATAAGTAACAATTTTTCATATCATAATTCATTAGTCAATTAATTTTAAAGCTCTATTCTTTCTTGATCAAAAATAATCAAGAGTTAAAAGTAGACTTTTGAACTTATCACTGAAAAAGGAGAATATATGTATTCACTTGTATAAGCAACTCCAAATGATTCATCAGCCAAATTTGAGAAAATTATTTATCAGCTTGCAGTTTCAAGTCCGTATCTTTTCTAATACAAATGGAAACTGGGTTCCCACTGCACTCTAGTGTCATCTGGTCTGGGACCTATAAGTAGGCAGCATCAGAGAGAAGTAAAAGAACTTCCTTTGTGTGGCTGTAGGTCCAGCCTAAGACAATGGTGGAATATGGAAAGTTTGCTTTGGTAAAGCTTTCTTTCTGTTTTCTCTGCAGCCCTCCCCGCCCCGCCCCCTCCCCCCATGCTGGGGGAAGTCACCCACATGAGGATGCTATAGGCTATTCCTGGTTCTAGGTATCAGTAAATAGCAGCAAGACCATAGTAATGACCAAGGCATTGAGGGACAAAGCCAACAAGTTAACTGTGCGGATCTAAGAAGTATTTAGCAGGATCTTGAAGTCTTTCAGGAAGGCTATACTAGCAGTGGTGTACAGGGGATGCAAAAGAGATAAGGTAATCAAGTAGGAGACCACTGGAAAAAGCCTCACTAAACAGCCAAAGCTTGTTTGGGTGCTATGGATAGTTACACCTTCAGGGAGCCAGAGACCTTCACAAGAATCATGAGAGGGAATGACACAGAAGCAGAAGGAAGCCACAGAAAACCCAGGACCACTGAGACCAAAAGAAATGGGTTTTCCTGTAGACCAAATAAAAGAGTTCAAAGAGGAAGACAGAAAAGACTACTGATGCTGGTAAAGGGACCGTGAATATTTGAGAAAGAAATCTGGGAGGGCAGTGGGCTCTGAAGCTCCATGACAAAAGGTAAGGGAAAAAACCGTGCTCAAGGATATGACAATCCCTCAAGGAGAAACATGAACTAAAATAAAGTAGCAGAAAAAGTAAGGTATCCTTTAAAATCTCCAAGTCTCCTTACCTAGAGGGGATGAGTAAGTTATTAAAATGTTTTGATCAGTAGAAAACACACAAGGTATGAGCCTGTTCCGTTCTACAATACGTAGGCTTTCTGGTGTGAAGGGCAGAGAAACTTAGGACCCTTTCTTGCATGTTCCCTCCTCAAATGGCAGTAAGGTGAAGGTAAGTCAAAAAAAATCCACAGACACATTATCTGGCCTGACATCCTAGCACTTCCCCCATAAAGCTCAAGGACCTATCAAAGAAAGTCCTGGCTTGCACGACCTATAGGAGTTTGCAGGTGTACAGTAGCTGAATGTGCTAAACAAAACAAATAGCAGACCGAGCCCATATAAATTCATCTTGGAACTTAAAAATAAGTCCTTAATAAAATTAACTAAAATCTGCTGGCCACAGTGCTCTCCACTGGATTTATGTAAGATGTTCAGGGCTGTACGGGAAACAGAACGTGCATACAGCAAAGTCAACAGGTACACAGCTATATAAGGACCGTGGAGGATGCGTCATAGCAGAAGTAGGATGCTGCTTTTTAAAGAGAAGGAGTAAACAAGGAGAAAGTTGCTGATTTAGTGCCAGGAGAGGGAATCTCCAAGGTGCCAGTGTGGCCACACAGAGCAGAGGCTTCCGAAACATGGTTCTTTCAAATGTTTCAAGATATCAAGATCTAGTAACTTAAAAATTATGAAACGTGAATATTTTAATAAGGCAACATTCATCTATTAAAATGCTTCCCTCCTTGAAAAGCCCGCCTAATTTACATGTTATCTAAATAGCAGTAGGCTACTCTTCAAAACACAGGTCATACCCAATATTTCACAGTAAAAATAGTAATTACAAATGAAAGGATTACACACACACACACACACACACACACACACACACACACACACACACACACACACACACACACACACACACACATACACACACACACTTTTTTCACTTCTTTCTTTATAATATATATGGGAAGGGCCCCTAAGCTCCCATGACTGTCATCTGCATTTCCTTCCAGCTAAAGTAGACACTTGAAGACAATGCTAACTTGCTTTCTAGAAACTAGGAATTGTTCAGCTAGGAAAGAAATTTCATCAGTCTTGTTGATTTTTTAAAGCTAGTAAGTCTTTACCCATCACTTCCATGTTCTTTTGCCTTAGAAGACGGGAGCTTTCCCAGCGCTTTCATGGGATCCACAGTATTTATTCTGCTTCAAATAGATCCAAATTTTCAGGTTATTTTAAGAAACTTAGACATTAAAATTCTTTAAAAAAACTTATTTTTGTACCTGCCCTTGTCGATTAGAAGCTTATTGCATTTGTGTATATATGTTAAATACCTTGTTTGCTTTATATGTATATTTTTGAAAGCATCTTAAGATGTAGATAAATCTTAATTTCTCATATTTTTATTTAGTAGCAAACTGCCAAAGAACCCAGATCCTCTAATGCATGGTTACCTATCATTTCATAGTTTCTCTTGCACATGGTAGGTGCTCAAAAATTTGCTGATGCATCTACATCCCTCTCTTATATTACCTAATTTGCTTTTCAATTTTCTCATCAGTATTTTCTTAGTAGTTGCAGTAATATCTTAGTATTGGGATACTGTTAATCTGACATATGAATCACAATCAGGCCATTATTAAAAATACTATCAACAATTGCTGATATACAAAAACAATGAAGTATTAAATAAGTCACCTGGAGTCTGTCTTGATTTTCCTTTCTAATTCTTTCTAACACTGTTATCCTTAAGTAACATCCCAGACATAACCTTCTGAATACTTACTAAAAAATCAGACAATACAAACAGGCTCCCTGACAGGATCCCAAGAAATTTTTTAAAAATCTGGAGTGAAATTATGTTAGATTCCTCAGACCTTACTACAAAATAATTCCGTATGAATAAAAGACTTAAACTAAGTACGAAAATGAAACCAAAACCTCATAAAGAAAAACAGCAAGAGTCTATTAAAATGAAACTTGTGATATGAAAAATATCACAGTTGTTTAAATTTTAAATTTAGAAAAATATTTGTAGCAAATATAACCATAATATAGAGAGAGCTCTTGTGAATTGATGAGGAAAAAGATAAATTTCAACATGAGAAAATTTATGAAGGCTACAAATAGTTCAGAAAAGAATAAAAATGACTGATAATTCTCTTACAAAAGTAACCACGGAAATGAAAAACAACAGTGCTATAATTTTGGGTTCAGACTGAAATGGCAATTGAAGTGAACAATACGCAGTGCTGGCGAGGATGTGGAATAACAGGCACTCTCTTATATGATGTTTGTGGTAATGTAAAGAGATTCAAATTTTTCAGAGAACAACTTGCAATGGATATCAAAAGTCATAAAAAGTCATGCCTCTAATGGAGCATTCCCAATTCTAAGAATTTAGCCTAAGAAAATCATCACACGAAATCAGAAACATATATATGTGAAAGATGTTCATTAAAGCATTGGTTATAATACTGAAAAACTGGAAATAAAAATCTTAATGTTAATAATCACTAAAGTAATACTGGAAATTCCATTCAATAGAATACTATGCAGCTCATATTTAGATTACAACTGGAAAATCGATCTATGTCTTCTGTTAAGCAGGTGATATAGCAATATGAACCTTTTACTTATATTTACATGAATAGAAAATATACCTAGGTGTTAACAGCATTTCTCTGTGGGTACTGGGATCATGGATGATTCGTACAATACGAGCTCATGTGGCTCTCACATACAACCAGAAAGAAAACGACAAACATGGCTCTTCTCTCTTTACTTTGAAAGATGGCCCTAAGAAGCACTTTACCCAGGCGATGCTTCCGCCAGAAAATGGGGCAGATTCTGAGTTCCTGGAGAGCATGCTTTGTTATTCTTTCAAATCTGTGCTATCTCAGATCCAGACCATTCCAAACATGCATCCTGTCTGTGAAATTGGACAGATCTCCAAGTTAATGATATTTTCTTTCCCTTGCTTCAAAGGAAGTCATCCTCATAAAACTCATTATAATATCATTATGATACCATTCCATAACAGTTGTCAGGAGCCAACAAACCTGCTTACTCTACCACTCAAACAATCAAAACTACTGAGGTATTTAAGGTCTCATTGTGTAGCAAAATTTCCATCTCCATCAGCTTGGGTTTATTTCATGCTGCCACTCAGCTTGTGGCCTATTAAGGCACTCAATCAACAGATTTGTAAAAGATGGCCTGCTATGGGCAAGGCACTAGGCTAGGTGCCAGGTGTAGAAGACAAAGTCCCTGCTCTCAGGGAACCTATTTTCTTGTGAAGGAGATACACAGTAAGCACCTAATTACATAATAAGTAATGCAATTTTGAGAAATGTCACAAAGGAAAAGACTGCCTAAGGGGAAAGTTAAGAAAGGAATGGTGCCTTCTCTGGGAGGGGATGGTCAAAGACGACTTCCTAGAGCAAGGAGCACTTGAAAATTCTGAAAAGTGTGTAGGAATCAAGAGGCAAAGGGACAAAGAGAAAATTATCCAATTGTGGGAAGGGTCTTGAACTCTGTGACACCTGTTTCAATTGACTAGAGGACAGTGTGCTTCTTTATTGATTGTGGCAATGCTCTACAATCCATAGGATGCTTGCTGGGTAAATGAAAGAATTAGTGTAACAGCTGAAATTCAAAAGAATGGTCAAATCGCTCCAATGATAAAATCCACAATACTAACAAGGCATTGTTCTGAGTTATTTTCAAATCAATTTTCTTTTCAAATACTTACAAACGTTTTTTTCATTTAGTATGAATTTACTTATAGAACTTCCAAAACCATGTAGAGGGCTTATTGTTATTTCATGATCACCAGGCGAAAGAGTTGAGATTTTAGTATTTGTTTTACCCAATCGATAACAAGGGGACCTGCAATATAAAAAAATTAAATTTTAATCAACAGATAAAATTAACAGTACGAGTTTCATTAAAACCTGATTCACACAAAATGCACTGGAAAATATTTTACGTGCTTTTGCATTCAAAAACATGATAGGTTATACTGCATCTTAAGACTGAAAAAGAGAGGTTAATGGTAAGTGCATCAATGTAGATGTAGGAAAAATAATCAGATTGTACTAGAAATTAAGCATAAATGACTCTTTCAAGAAACAGGGTCTTAGTTAGCATGCTCTTCAAACTCTCACCTAACTTCCCTCTGCAGCCTTACCTCGGCTGCACACACCCCACCTCCCTAAAAGCCCCATACTTCTAGACCAGATGTACACTAAAATTCACGAAGAATACTGGCTACTTGTCACCCCTAAACACATACCCTCAACTTGTCTGCTCCTCTGTCTTGGCTCATGGTTCACTAAACAAAACTAGTTCTCCTTTCAAAATGCTTCCAGTTCCCCACCCATTACCTCTCAGACAAAAGTGGTTTTTTCCTCTGTGGTTTCACGGCCCTTTGTATCTTTATCAAACACATTTATATTCTTTTTTCTGTTATTCACATACATTTCTAACTTACCATAAAATTTTAATTCAAGCAAAGGAACTTTTGGTGGCTCCTGCATCCCTGCCCACACCCCAGCACCCAGCACAGGCTTCTTCACGTTGTTCACTTAGGACCGAGAATGTGAAAGGGTCAGCTCACCTCCTCTCCATTCAGATAGCGAGGCTGAATTCTCTACATTGTGCTATTTCATATGTCCATGCCGTCAGACCCACTATTCCTTCAGCCTGGAATGTAATTCAGTCATTTTTCTTCTGAGAAAAATGAGTAGTCCTACTCCACAACCACATCTTCTCCGAGAAGCCTCTGCACTGCCACCCTCCCTAGCTAAAGCTCCCTGGCCCTTCACGAACGATTTCTATCGGCATCAGATCCCCAGTGTTAAGATTTGTTCACTGTGAACTCCTGGGGGGCCAGAACAAACTTCCCCGGGGGGGCCTGTGGTTCATCAGTGCTCTTTACCACATTTTCAGGTTCTCCGCTTCTGAACTCACAGTAGGCCTGCACTTCTCCGCTCCTCTGAAGCAAGGAAGGCATGGTGATGTGACTTTATTTGCAGAGAAATTGTAGTGAAAGTCACACCTATCGCTTCAGGAAGCTCTGAAAGCCAGCAGGCTGCGCTCCCTCCTTCCCCGCCACCCCACCTCCTGACGTGCTGCGGGGTGAGGGCCCTTCAGCCTGGGGCCCTAAGGATGAGACAAGGGGCAGAGATGCAAACTGATCAAAGACTAACACAAAACACAAGCAGGAAATAATCCTTTATTTTCACAGCAGAAAATAAGGAAATAAGATTTGAGAGCAGTTTCTGCAACACAAGTGAACTCATGCAAGCTGATAAATTATCCCAACACTTAGACTAATGTTCAATAAATGTACGCTGAATGGGAAAAAAACATCCGAGTATACTTAAATACACATTTATGTCCATTTACATGAGGACCACTCATCAGCAAACAGGGACCTGGAGCAGCTGTGCTGGAATTCCTCTGCTTCCCTAAATAAGTCATGCCCGGCTGGGATCAGGGGAGCAAAAGGTGTCGTCTGGTTTGCAGGTGGCCCAAAAGCCTCAACTCCAGGCTTGAAGCTCCTCTCCCACTCCAACACTACCTGAGAGGGTAAAGTGGTGCGACAGAACCTGCCACTTGCTTCCTAATGTCCACTTTCCCCTTTTCCTTAGTAGCATTAAGTCAGTGTTTGTCTGGGCACACTGCCATCCAGTTAAGAGAAGGCATGGCCCAGCCTCTGTGCAACTAGGTTTAGCCATCTAAGTTCTGCCAGTGAGATGGAAGCAGAGGTGTTATATAGGACTTCTTAGAAAGCTTCTTGAAGAAAAGCATCCTCCTTTTCCTTCCTGTTTTCTGGAATGCAGATGTGATAGCTGCTCCTCAAGCATTACCTTGGACCATGAGATCTCAGGCTAAAGATGGCAGAGTAGCATGATATAGAGGAACCTGGATTTCTCATGGCCGTAAACAACCATGTCAGCCTTGAATGTCCACTCCAGACGTTTTAGAAGAGAGAAAATGTCTCATATAAAATGCCTGCTAAGCCACTCCTACTGACACTTTCTGTTAGGCACAGTCAAAACTCAACCTGACACAGGTAGACAAATATAGACCAGAACTCAGAGCACAGTAGAAGTGTGTTACTTACTTGCTATTAATATAACAAAAGAATCAAAGTTTTGGCCAGGGGAAAGGTCTGTTTCCATGTTGACCGATGTAAGATTGAGAATTTTTAGAAGATAGAGAGCTAAGACTAAAACATTTTATTTAAAAATTTACAGAACAAAATCTTAATGCTCTAAAATTAAAGAGAAAGAACTTTTAGTTTTAGGTCGTAGCTGTAAATCAATCAAAGTGTTTGCATTACCTGTTTTCAATGCAAACTTCGTAAACAGCACCACGGCTGGCTCCAGAGGGTTTCCAAGAGCAGTCCCACACTTGCAAATTGTTAGTTACACACTTCAAGTCATGAGGAGCCCCTGGAGGAGAAACAACGTGCGTGTGCACATGCACGCACGCACACTTAATAATTTAACTGCAGTGTAAAAAGTCAACATGTTAAACCATTTTCAATCCTAAGTATAAGCATATGTGTTCACAGAGGGCCCATGTTCTTTGTGCTGAGATGAACCTACAGTCACAGGAGGTGACTGGTTTTATATTTCTTTCTGTAGCTCTGGCTTTAAAAAGCTTGAGAGTAACCTGATGAAAGTGAGCCAACCATTAAACCACTTAGGGGTTAGGCTTTTATCAAAAATTCCATTTCCAGGCAACTAAGATTAATAGAGGGAGTGCTCATGTAGATGCAGTGATGGAACCAAGACAAGAGAGGGCTTGGGAGAATTTTAATCTCTAATAGCCCCATTTGCCAAAAAAAAAAAAAAAAAAAAACTCTAGGTAAAAACCATGTCTTTCCCATGCCCACAAACGCAGCTTCTAAAGGCTCCAAGCATTACTGTTTCGCTGCCTTCTACCAGGCGGCCACCTGCATGGAAATCCCATAACCACCCTGCAGATTTTTATGAAGCGCATTAAAGTTTATACAGCAATGAACTCACACAAGTCCCTGAAAAATACATATTTCATGTGGGCCTAAACAACTGAAAAGTAACAAAAACTTCAGAAGATTACAATCCTAACAGTACTTATAGCTATGAAATAACATTACGTCATGGACTACATAAGCACTATACAATGAAAAAATATCATTCTGAAAGAGATATGAAAAAAAAAAGAGAGTATAAGAAAGAGAGAAAGAAGGAAGACAAAAGGAAAAAAGAAAAGAGGGAAGAAATAAACGCTATTACAGTGTGAAAAAGGTATTCTATCTCAGACCCTCTAATAAATACCTATGAAAATATTTTTTCTTTAACTTTTTCATATGGTTGGTATGATATTCACTATAGCAATAAATTATTATAAGAGACAAAAAAAATATTATAAGCGCTCACATTAGAAATCATCAGTAATCATATTTAATGGTGATCTTGAGGAAAAGAGAAGATCTGTTTAATTACGGAAATAATATAAAAACTAAATCCCAGCCAGAAGGAGAATAATGTGTGTTTTTTTTTTCTTCTGGAAATAAGCTTGGTAACATCTTCGCAAACATTCTTAATATATTTAAATAAGATGAAAACAAACATTGTTAGAGAAAAGTATATGATTTCATTTATATGACATTCTGAAAATTAGAGAGACAGAAACAGATCAGTTCTGGCTGGAGGAGGGATGGGAGGCGCTGCCTGCAGAGGAGCACGGGGCATTTTCTGGAGTAAGGGAACTGCGCTGTACCTTGTCTGTGCCGCGAGTTATGTGACTGTATACATTTGTCAAAAATCACAACTTTATTCTAAAAGGGTGAATTTTATTGTACATAAGTTACATCTTAGTCTTTTTAAAATGAAGAAAGAATACTTAGCTCTATCTTTAAGGGCTTTTTAAAAAAGAAACCGAAAGTACATATAAAGATGACAAAGAAATGAATTTTAACCACCAAAAACCTAAAATTTCAATGAAGACACACTATCCCATTGCAATCAGTTCATTCTCTATGACTGTAATGCACTTACCCTTTTTCTGGCTATTTACTTGATTCATTAAATATAGAAGAACAAATGCTGATAAGAGCCACCGGAAATTTGAAGTTGTCTTCATTCTTTTACTGTCCACCATCCAAGACGGTTGTCTCAAATATAAGAAAACGTCCAACATCCATGCAATGCAATCAGTCCTAGATGAGAAGAATTTCAAATGGTGTTCAAAATGCTCCAAACACATGCCTTATGCAGTGCACACTAACAGTGAAAATGGGCGCTGACAGCCACTGAAACAAGCTGTACGCTAATGACTTTGAAGATGCTAGGCTCAAGCTGACCTGGTTTTAGGAGACATTGACAATCAGACACAGCTGTTGCTTCAGAGATTCGTTAGAGAGTCAATTTTCAAACGATAGGCTTCAAGTTCAAGATTATAACTGAATACGTTTATCAACTCTCCATCCTAACGCTACTAGAGTATAAAAAAGCAGTGCATTAAAGTTTTGACAATTTTAAGTGATACACAGAATGACATTTTAAATTTTAATTGGTATATATTGACTTTTGTAGTCATTTATGACAAGTAACATCTATTTTCTTTTCCATTTATACTATGACATAAAGTTTCTATTTCACATATATTTAAACGAAGAGAGAAAAAACTGGGGTAAATAATAATATAGAGGGTTTGCAGATGTGATAAAAATATTGATGACACAGAAATGACTAAAGCGTAACACTACAACAGCTATACTGGGAAAGGGGCATTGGTAGATGAGAAATCTCAACACGTTGCTGTTGAAAACAGAATGCCTGTGGAGAAGCAGTGGCTGAATCTGGTAGGTGGCAAGAAGGGGCTGCGACAGAGGCAGGTGATGTTCGGCCCAGGAGCTCCTGATACATGCCAACGAACGCTCAGACAGCCTGCCAAATGCCAGGTCCTCATCCAGGCACTGGAGGCGCAACATGAACTAGACAGAAGTTCCTGCTCTCAAGGAGCGTAAGACTGAGAGAGATACACACATAAACAAATAAGAAATTTAAGATCCCGATATGCGCTTCAAAAACCAAAACAGGTCAATATGCATGAGAGTGTGTTAGCGAAGTTTGCTACTTGACCTGAAATCTGACCGATGAGAAGATTGCCATGATAAGATCGGGAGAAAAGCAACAGGAGCAAGCACAATGACCCTCATATGAGGACAGAGTGGAGGGACACGGAGGGCCTCATGGCCATCGGAAGGATACGGAGTTTAACGAGGCTGAGATGAGAAACCACCGGAGTGTTTTAATCAAGGAAGATCCATGATCTGATTTGCATTTTGGGAAGACTTCTCTAACTGCTTCATGGTGGAGACCCTGGCAGAAGGGAGCAGAAGCAGTGAAACCACAGTCCACCTGAGATTACCTGTGCTGAGCACTCAAGATCTAAGCGTGGAGGTGGCGCGAGGTGGTCAGATTCAGGCTGTTTCAGGGCTGGCGGGTCATACTGATGCACTACGAGCGGGACAGCACGGTGGTCAAACACACAGACGGGGTCTGAATCCCAGCTTTGTCACCTGTTGCCCGATCTTCACCTCCCTGTGCCTCGGTTTCCTCATCTGTAGGGTGGGCATAACTGTATTTTCCTTATAAGTTTGTTGTGACGATTAAATGAGTAAATATACGTAAAGCAACTGAAACAGTGACAAGCACATGGTTAAGTGCTGAAAGTACTTTGTATGTTGTGTGAGGAAGGGAGACCTGATAAACAGCAAGGATGGCTACTAGATTTGGCGGAAAAACAACGAATGGAGGGTGGTGCCATTTAAATCCTCTCTGGGTGCATGAAGGACGAGGCAGTAACTTACAGGGAGAAACAAAAGGGTTTGAAAATTTGTTTACAGACGTCAACTTTGATATGCCCCTAGTCTCCATTCCACAGAGAAGAATTCTACCTCCAGAACGTAAAAGAATAGTCGAGGAAACCAGAGCAGCTAACAAAGACACAGGTGCCAAAGAGGAAAGCACTGGAGGACCCTCAGGGCGAAGATGTTCACAACCACTCTTGCTGCTCAAAGCCTGTTGGCCGACAAGCCCTTCCAGTGTACTGAAATCTCCCTGTCAGACCTAATATTGCCTCATTTTTATACTGGAACAGACAACCAAGAATCACAAAACATACAAGCAAGGCCTAGAACATCAAAGAGAAATTCAGCATAAACTGGATAACCAAAAGGAAAATAATAATTACTCCCAGAAGAAAAAGAATACTGTGGAAAACAGGAAAACTAGAAAGATAAAAACAACAGACAACCACTTCTAAATAATATTCTCAAAGCAAACACGGCAGTCATAAAAATAAGAAAAGGATGCAAGGAAGAAGGAATAATCAGAAATAAAAATAGCTCTTGGAAGTTAAATACATTGCCTGACATTAAAAAATTTTTAAAGACAGAAAAAAGAACATTGAGAAATCTTTCAGAAAAAAAGACAGAAATAGAAAATGTGATAAGAGATATGAGAAACAGGAACTTGATAAAGGAAAGGAAATCCAACATCTAAATAACCAGAGCCTAATGAGAGATTTCGAAAAACATTCTCCTTAGAGAAAGGAAATGGCAAGCTCTCCTCTTGGCTCTTGCTGAGTGTCATCAAAAACCAAGAAAATGAATCCCAAACAGCTTAAATAAGTGTAACCAAAACATGCACAAGGCACGAGCACACATTTTAAAAGGGTTCAATTATTTTCTGGATAGACAACTTTCTAGTCAATTCCAGTACCATCGAGCTTACTTATTAGAATGAAAACGTTTTCATAAACATTTAAAATGCCAGTTGCTAATGTTACGGAATTGCAGAGCGTGTGCAAGAATAACTGAATAAAGGAGATAAAAATAATCAGAAACCGTATTTACTGACTGGCTGAACACTATCTTGAAATGAGACAGTCCCTCACTACAAGTTTACAGTTGTTCTAGAAAAGAGAAGTGTGTCCCACGAAGTGGGAAGAGGGGGGTAGAGGCAGAGGAGAGCGTGCTCTGGGCCAGGTGCTGTGGGACTGTCATCCTAATTAGCGGTGTGACTGGGGGAAATCACTTAATCCCTCCAGGCTGCTGCCTCAAGCACTGCAGCAGAGGCCAGCCTTACTCAGCGTCCATATGAGAAACTTCCCAGAGTTAAGTTGCACTATTCCATCCGTGTTGGCAGGCAACAAGCAAGCAGACACACTAGGCCAATGCCAGCACCAGCCACCAATGAGAGACACCCCTGAGGGGGTGCTCAGGGTCAGAAGGATCAAAGGCAGTGTCACCAGAGCCTGCTTAACTGAAAACAGGTAGGACAATAAAGAAGACTTTCTTTTGTCACAACATTTACATAGAAAAATTTGCACAAGTCATTTAGGCAATACAGTATTACACTTGCGATAGATTCAGCTTCTGTGCCACGGAAAACTTCCGAATGGACTTCTTTGCAGCCAGAAAATTCATGCACAGAGCCTTCTAAAAAGGACACGTAAAACCAGTTCTGCTCTTCTCTGATAGAAACAGTGAGAATTTGCTTTAACCCCACCCCCCAATGCCTTATTCTTAAAGGAGAGCACATTTTTATAGAATTTTAGGAGCTAATTTTCAAAATCAGGATCGCTGTCTTGACGCAGCCGCAGAGTGCCAATGCAAGTGCCGACAGGCAAAACGGGTCAACTACCCAGGCTGGTGCTAATGGCAGCCTGCCTGTCCAGTCTTCGAAGGTAGGAGCAATGCGCCATGCACCCATTCTCTAGAGCTACTACAAGAGGATGTAATTCACAACAGAAAACGAGGCAGAAAACCAAAAAAA